GGTGAGGAAGGGTGCTGTGGATCTAAAAGCTGTAAATCCAACTGAACACAAGAGGGCTACAACAACACATTTTCTTTGATTGAAGCAGAGTTCTGGATGGAGCTTTGTTAATATCTGTCTACATTTTGGCCTTCTCTTAATTTTATACATCTGGGAGATGAAATAAAATTCTGCTATTTTGACACCCTTTAAGTGCTTGTATGCCTACCACTTCAGTACGGCCTATAATGATTTGAGACTGCTATTTTTAACACTTTTCTAATACTTTAAACTACTTAAATGTTGGGACTACTTACCGAACATGCTGTTGCTGCTGATAAGGTACCAAAATCTGTGGCACAGATGTATAATTTGGTATGTACTCTTAGTGATATGAATGCTTTGTTCTGCACTTAAACTGTGGAGAATCCAGACTGTGTGAGCAAATAAGGAAAAGAGAACATATTAAATGCAGTCTGGAAAAGTACAAGTCCCTGCCTAGTAACCAAGAGCAAGTGTTAGGTTGCTTCTCTATTGATCCAAAGTGCAATTAAGAGCTACCTCCTGCAGATGAATTTAGATTGGGCTTTTAAAGTTTTTTCCTTCCCCCACAGACCTAGTATCAAGTGGAAAAAAACCTGCATAGCAGATGTCCTATAAAAAAATCACCAAGTGGAGTTTTCATCAGCCTCAACTCCTTGGTCTGTACAGGGCTACTTACCTGAAGTCTGTCAGCTCAGTTCAGGTGCTGAAAAATGACAGCAAAGCACGTGCTGGCTAGAAGCAGGAAAATGGCCAGTGTTCTGCCTCATTTGTTGTGGTACTCAATGTCAGGAAAAAGCCACCTTTCTGCAATATAAAGGTGCTTGTGTTCGGGGTTTTTTTTTTTGGAAGGAGTTTTTGTGCCTTTTTTTTTTTTTTTAGAACAAATTGAGAATGTTATATTTTGTTCACTCCCTGCTGTTCTTTAGACAGTAGTTTGTCTCTTAATTGAAGCTGTCAGGATTTGTTTGTTTCTCTGGAAATGTACAGGAACATAGCTTCCCAATCAATTGTAAATCATTAGTGAATATATAGCTTTACTTATATGGTCCAGGATTAGCTTCTGCAGTGCATAAAGCTTGCAGAGATTAAGAGGGCCTAAGACAAAGCCTGTTGCAGATTTAGGCATTGGACATTTTAGCAGTGATTTTTTTTCAAGTAAATAATGCCCAGACTCACCAGAACTGATACCTAGGAGCTAGAACAGCTCTTAGAGCAGGTGTAGGCACACAGGGCTCTCTAAATCCACTGTAACTCTTGGTGCGGACATTTTCTGCTTCTGAATGCTCCAGGCTGCTAGAAAAGTGGAATATAAGCAAAGAGGAGACAATATCCAGTGGCAGTAAAAAAGCTGCTTGACTGTCTTAAAAGCCTATTTCACAGGACCCTTAAGAAAGGAGTATGAACATTTTCTTCCAGGCAGAGAGAAAGCCAAAAGAGAAGGGTCTCAAAACTGCCTTTTGCAGCAGTTTTGAGTTACATAAATTTGCATTACTTTGCAAGCTTTCATTTTCAAAATAATTAACTGGGCCTAGGGGAAGGACTGGATGGAGTCCATCATCTGGCATTTTACTGGAATGAGTTCACCCCATCGGTTCACCTGGCACAACTGTGTGCTACAGCTGCCTCTCCCTGTTCCCATTGCTGAGTGACACTGGTAGCTCAAACTTCCCAAGCAGGGACCATTAGAAGATGCTTATTTTCCTTATCAGAACATTATGCAGGTACACAGTGCTAGTGGCAGAGAGGCAGGGAGGGGAGAATTCCAAGTCCTTACCACGGCTTGTTAGGCAGTCATTAAGTGCAGCCTGGCTTTCTGAGCTGGAAAGCATCTAAGTTAGGCATGATCCTGTATCTACAGCCTTGTTTCTGTAGGGCTGCTTCTCTGCCAACATCCGAGATTGGCCATAATGGGTTGACTTTGGCCATTGCTGTTCATGTGCGCTGTATGCATGATGTATTTGCTGCTGCTGCTTTTTTTCTGATTATCTGCAAAAACACAAAAGCAGCAGGCTGGTTGTCTTGAGCTTATGGGCCTAATTAGGTAAGATCTTTGCACAGAAAAGTAAGATTATCGGGAAACGGTTGTTAAGCAAAAAAAATTACTGTCCGTCACCTGAGTAAATTACATAGGTAGGGATTGAGGGGTGTGTTCATCAAAGCCAGTTCTGAGTGTTCACAGACACTTGGCTTTCCCAGTGCTGCAGTGGTATCTGGGAATACTCCCTGTTCACAACAGCGTGTTTGGGTCTAAGTGCAGCCAGCTCTCTGTTCTTCTGCACAGGCCACAGTAGGTAGAGCTGGGGATTGCAAGGGGCAGGAAAATGAATGTGGTTGTGGGGAAGGCAGGTATTTACCTCCTGGGAAAGGCAGTGTGGGGGCTGTGGCACTTAGTGTGGCCTGTTTACTCATCCCAGCTGTCTTTCAGAGAATCTAGTAAAAGGTTCTGGTCTGCTTTAACAGATGTCAATCGCAGTAAGTGTGTCTTTGGCAGGCTCACTGATGGTGCCCCAGCAAAGAGAGTGAGGCAGTGCAGTCTGGCAGCACGGCACGGTGTGTGCTGCACGGGGTGTACTGCACAGCTGGGCAGAAAAGGGCAAGCGTGTTCCTGGGGTCTGGAGGTAGTACTGCTTTATGGGCCGGGATGTGTACTCAGGAAGGACAGAGGCCAGGGGCAAGAGAACAGATGAAGCATCAGTGAGATCTGTAGGCAGCTGGGACTTGTACTTCTTGTGTTGTGCTCAAGTGAAACCAGCACAACATGGGTCGTGCTGCTTGGTAGGATGGGGCTGGAACATGCAGAGACCAGAATTAAGGAAGCAGCAGTGAAGGACTCTGTGAAGAATAGACCAAATCAAAGCTTATGGAAGGCCAAGAGGAGTAGGGTCATGCATGCTTAGGGAAATGTGGATATTACTTCCACACTGTTGAATGAGGATAAGGAGCACACACATGCGTTTGCTCTCTGCTCTTGCAAATGCGCATTTCCAGCTGGGAGCAGATTTAAGTCCAGTTGCCCTCTCAGCTATACATGCACAATTGCTTTTGGCCAAGGATCTCTCCTCTTTGCTGAAGCCAGAGGTTGAAGAGGGGTTATCACTGACACTATAGTGTCCCCTAAAGTCCCCAAGCCGCTTTGGATTTCTTTCCTATTTTCACTGATGATTCAGATGCATCTAGCACTGCACCCAAGAGCAGGGCACAGCTCTTCCCTGAGCAGATGTGATCCGTATCATGAATCCACACACACTGTGCTTGGGGCTAGAGGCGTGCTATGCTGAGGGGATGTCTCTCTTTTAGATTACAAACACGGGGCTTAAGCATCCTAAGTCTTCTCATTTTATGCTCATGGTAGTTTGCATCTGGATCAGACTCCTCTTACAAGCTTGAGAAGCCTTAGGCCTGGATTTAGAGCTTTTGATTCAAGTGCTGACTCTGTGGATGTTGCACATTCTTTTGGCACCAGCTGCTTATCAGCAAATCCCTGCCAGGGGTTACGGGGACTTGCCGATGCCTCGCCCTCTCATCCAGCTCCATCAAAAAAGCACAGGGTTAGCAAATCCCAGCCATTTAAGGTATTTCAACTATCCGAGTTTCATTTTGATGGAGATGGGATTGCTCTGGGAGATGGGCTGCAGAGCAAAACGTGCCTGCAAATCTACCAATGTCCTCAGGGTATGAATGCCTAACAGGGGCTAGAGCCAGTGGACTGCGTTTTTATTAATCTCGGGTGCCGTGGTGAGGAGGGTGCCGTGGTGAGGAGGGTGCCGTGGTGAGGAGGGTGCCATGGTGAGGAGGGTGCCGTGGTGAGGAGGGTGCCGTGGTGAGGAGGGTGCCGTGGTGAGGAAGGTGCCATGGTGAGGAGGGTGCCGTGGTGAGGAGGGTGCCGTGGTGAGGAGGGTGCCGTGGTGAGGAAGGTGCCATGGTGAGGAGGGTGCCCTGGGAGCGGCCCCGCACGCACAGGGGGACAGCGGGCGGGGGCTGGGCTGTCACCGAGCCGGGCGCTGTGGGCACGGCGGTGCCGGGGAGCCCACGCTGCCCTCGCCCAGGACCGCCGGGCCGAGCCGCCCTCAGCCCAGCGCTGCCCTTCGCCCCGGGGGAGCGGGAGGAGGCGCCCGGGGAGGTCCCGTTCGGGGCATTGTGGGAAGGCGCGATGCGGCCGGGCCTCACCTGGCGCGGGGCGGGGAGGGCGGAGGGAGCGCCCGGGAGCCACCCGGGCCGGGCCGGGGCCGCGCCGGCTCCGCACCATGGTGAGTGTCCGACCGCACCGGGACCAGCAGCCCTGCTTCGTCCCCGGTGCTCCCCGGGGCCGCGGAGCCCTCGAGGGGCGCGTTGTCAGGCTCGGGGGGAGGCCGGGCACGCCGGGGCTGCCCCGCTCCTCTCAGCGCCGGCTGCGCCGAGAGGCTCAAACGCCGTTTCCAAGAGGGTTTCCGCAAGGTTTGCACCTTCTCTTTGGGGAGATGAGAGTTACATGTGCTGCTTTCTGTTTCCCGACCCTCGGGGTGAGCTCGGGTCACGCCGACGGCGTTTCGTGGCCAACCAGGAAAAAAAAAAGGGGTGTTTCAGGGAGGTTTCATAAAGCCTTCCTGTAACTTGAGGAGCTGAGGTTCAAGTCGGCTCCAGTGCCCGGAGAAGGATCGAATGTGGTTTCAGGTGGATCTGTGTCTTTTGGCTGACTGGTGCAGAGCGGGTCAGTGTTGGGCAGTGGGTTTTCCTGTGACGGATCACCGGGAAGAGCCTTTCCCCAGGGGTGTTCCCTGGCGCCGGGTGAGGGGAGAGCTGGCACAGCAGGTCGGGTGCCTCTGCTCCGCTGCCTGCTCTCACGGGGCTCGCAGGAATTTGGCTCCGGCTCCCCACCAAGTGATGTGCCTGTGAGAGCGTGTGGGGCTGGCTGTGTCCCTTGGTCCCCGCTCGGGGTGACCCGGCCCCAGGGCTGGGCAGTGGCGGCAGCAGCGACTTGTTTGAGCTTGGAGAGGAGGGAGGCTCTTTGACTCTCCGGTGCTGCACTTGGCGGGGGTTTGCTGGGATCAGGAAAGGCTGCTGTAGATACTCTCGTGTGCTAAGCGTGATGACCAATATCTTGACGACAATGGCTGGAATTTCCCCAAGGAGGACTGCGGGCTCTCAAGTAGTGAGATGGTCAGTGATGCCTCTTAATGTAGAAGCCATCTCGCTGCTTGATAATTCAGGCTTGTCTTGCACAGTTTGCCCATTGTGTGCACCTGTAATACCAGTTACTGGCAGTGCAGCCCAACAGGAGTCTCTCAACTCCTTTAGCGGAGGCCAAGTGCTGTTGTTTGTTTCTATCCTCAAAGGCAGAGCTATGTTGTTTCTTCTCAGTGGTTTAGCCAGAATGCTAAATATGTGTTAGTCCACTGTATTTAGAAAGGTGTACCTATCATTACATATGCAAATAGAATATGCACAGTAATGAATTTACTTTGAATGAATTGTGGAGATGGCAATGCAATCTCCACACCTTAAGTCCCCATATAGATGTAACTTTTCTGGTTCCACCCTAAGACAGCTCTACATATCCAGTTCCCTCTGATAAAGCTTACGTAAACAACCGGAGTTCCTATTTTGCCCTTGAAGGTCAGTAAATACGGGAGCTGATTTCAGGGAAGCTGATCTCAGAACTCCCTGATGCACATACTTCACAAATGCCGGTTTTCAAACCACTCACGGTGGTCCCAGGGGAGCTCTGCTCACAATAGTGCTGCTTATTGACAATTTGGAGATTGTCTACTGTATTGGTGGTTAGAATTTTACAAGGTGACTGTGCATTTTTACAATTAATTTTTTTTTCTTTTCTGTGGTTGTAGTGTGAACCCTTTCTGGTGTTATTACATTAACTGGTGCTGTCAACCTTACCCTGTTCTCCTGTTGTAGATCCAGTACTGATGAAAGGGTACTTTTGTCAGGGAACCCTCACTTAAAATTCCTCTGTCATCCTCCGGGAAGGGATTGTTAACACTGGGTTATGAGTCAAGAAATAAGGGTTTGCTGGGTTACAAACCAAGAATACAACTTATTCAGGCTCACAAGTGACAAACTTTCAACAGGTCATTTAAACTCTATGCATTGTTTCCTCCAGTTTGGACCGACAGAATTATGCTTGCAGCCCTTTTTTCTGTGTCTTGAGAGCAGAATGGAAGGTGCCCTGCAAATGGTACTGTGTTTTAGCAAGAGGGTTGTTTCAATTGTTTGCTCCTACAGATTTCCAGGAAAGTTTCAAGGAAGAGTCTGTTTAGCAAAGCTGACTTCATAACTTACTGAGAAAAACAGCTTTTCTGCCCAGCTGCTACTTTGGGACATGTTTTTTAAAAAAGACTTTTTAGACAAGACTAAATTCTACTGCCTGACATACGTGGGTGCAGCAGAGAAACATGTCACAAAGAATGGCTGTCTCAAAAAAGTCAAAGAGTGGGGAGAGAGCACAGAGAAGAAAATTATTAGCGTCCCCAAGGACATGTTGCTGTAGTCTTTCATGCCTGGAAGTGTTGCAACACCTTGATCCTACTGCTACCTCAGTGTTATCAGTACCATTTTCATGACAGTACCTGGCTCTGCTTGTAAAGCTCTGAGTGCAGAATTGGTGCCTGCATAGTAAAGGCTCTGCTCCCCTCCCACCTGTGCTACTCATCAGTAAAGGAGACAAATTAGTTCTTGTGGGCACAATCTGAAACCCTGGAGAAAGATCAAAAGAATCCCAGTGAGCACAGTGGCTCTAAAAATGTATTTGGCCCAAATAGAAAAGGAGTTGGCAAGCACTGATTCCACTTAGCAAGACATTTGATGAACAGTCTCTGATCTAGAAGCTTGGATGGAAATATTAGTTGCTGTGACTGCAGCTGCTGACACCCTCCTAGTGTTTGGAAAGGAACTCTCTTCTGAATATCGACCTCACCAACCATCTCCATGCTGTTAATTGTTAAAATGGATCTCCAAAAGATGTTTTCAGAGCTGCACAGAATTTACTACCTAGAGTTCAAAGAATGACTGCTTATTTTCCACTTTTTACATTATTTTCCATTTTACAGCTGTGTATTGGCCTAAGAAAGACAATGAACTTTGCCTCTAGGCATTTAGCTCTAAAAGAGAAGAGGGGCAGCAGATTAGAGCAGATAAGAGGAGAGAAAATGACAAATATATTATTCTTGTTGTTTAAGGCAGCATTGTACATGGGGGGAAAAAAAAAAAAAGTCCTGTGGTATTTCTTTGTTAATTTATCTTGTAGTGAACTTTAGTATGATAGTAGAAAATGGCAGTGGAATGGCATCTTGTTTAGAAACTCCTGAGTAGATGGACTTTTCTGCTTGGAAAGAAGTGACTGCAGGGATGTGACACAAATGCATGAAGTCATGAATACTATAAAGACTGGTTTCTGCAAGAAGAGTCGGGGTGCATCCTGTGAAATTTAGAAATGTATAAAAACCAAAAGGGAATACTTTTTTTACCCAGTGTAGGTGAAGGTTTTTAATCCGCTGCTGAGGGTGCTGTGGGTGTCCGAGTAGTTAGGTAGTTCATGGAGGGTGGGTCCACAGGTGGGTTGTCTGGATGCAGTTTCTATCCCTGAATCCTTAAACCTGTGATTCATGGAGATGGGACCACCAGAGTGGTTTTACACATGCCCTGTTTCTTATGCTGTCCCCTTCTGGAAGCTGCTTAGATCAGAGTACAGCTCAGGGGGTGATTCATAATCTGGCATTCAGTTACTCCCTGTTGTTCAGTTGGACTGTAGAATACGGTTTCGTGGGATTTGCTAGGAAAAATGGTTTTCAGGGTTCTTCTCAGAGAGTGTGTAATGGCAGAGTTTCCAGTTTTGGATGTTCCTTCTCCAAGTGCTCGTGATCATTACAGATTGTCACTGTTTAATACTGGAGCCCACTTGGGCTGGGCTGTCCATGCAGGAATTGTGATGCACGCTTTGCTGTCTGTGGGTAATAAATTCATTTCTGGAAAGCGAAAGAAATGTTGAGATAGGTCACCTGCTGATTCTTTGGTTAAGTATTATTTTTTTAATATTTTCCCTCACAAGTAAGGAAATAGTAGTCATGTCTCAGAGCCAGGAGTTACTAGGATGTGGAGTGCATTTTCTTGGCTGCTTTGGCTGCATGCTTTCTTGAGTGGCCACCCCTGGACCTTGGCATTTCTGCAGGTGTTGCAGTGTAGAGACAGAGGTGCAAGATCCATCCACGCACAAATGGTATTCCATTTTGTGAGCAGGAATATAGCATGCAGAGGCACTGAGGTAGGATGGGAAAGTAAAATTTGCATTTGTGTTTGAAGGCAAGCTCAGCATGCCTTTCTGGCCAGACATGTCTTTCTGGCCTAGTGTGTCCTGGATGTGGGTTTCTCAATATCACAGACGTAACCTCAGGTACTTTACACACCCATGTTTTTTTCTTCTCTTTCTGAGTTTATGTGGGATATCCATCTGTTGTCCTCGGTCTGGGAGGGCACTGAAATCCCTCTGCACTAGCCAGTAAATGCCTGTTGTTGCCTTGCTCCTTGCCCTTAGAGCTTGTTCTCAATGGCTTGTTCACCAGTGCAGGAACTCTGTGGTTATCACCCTCTGCTTAGTGCCCTGCGGTGAATGATGGCCACAAACTGCAAAGGAATGAGGAACAGACTCACTTTTGTTTGATGAAAATGCAGAAATTCACTGTCTTGTGCCTTTGTCTTGCAAGGCTGTGCACTGCAGGAGAACACATGAAGTCTTGGGTGAGTGCTGGTCTTCTCTGACCTCTAGAGAAGCCATGGGAAGGACTACAGGAAACTCTCACAACAGCCACTGGGTTATGGAGATGGGGAAGGGCCACTACCTCAGGCATTTCCTTTCCTTCAAGTCTCATGATAAGGCTTGGATGAATAGCAGAATGAATTTGTGTTCTACTTTCTCATTCCTGAGCCAACATAAAGCATTTTGTGAGATCTGGCCCTTCCGTCTGTAAACAGTGGTTGCATCTTTTACAGTTATGCTTAGCTTGAATCCATGTTGGTTTTTTACTTTAATGCCTAAAATATCCAACTAAAACGCCATTTTTAGAAGGGAAAATTGAGAATTTCTCTACTGAAAATGCCTAAATGAAATGCTTTAGTATTTAAAAAAATATATTCCTGTGTTCTTTAAGAGTAATTCACTAATGTGATGTGAACTCGTGTATCTTTGGTCCATTTGGAGCTCAGGTTTTCTGTGAATGTCGTTGTTGGGTGTTGGAGAAATGGGTGTGAGGCTCTGTTCCTGCTCCATCAGGCATGGGAATCCCCAGGCTGAAGCACTGTGTGTCAGCTGAGAGGCCAGGGAAGCTTGTCACCTTCTGGGTGTGCCTGCCCTGTCCCACAGCAAAGCTTTTTAACTTTGCTCCTTGAGAGGTCAGAGTCAAGGGAAGGGCCCTGCAATGCCTTCACACAGCAGGGCTTTTGCAAATACCTGATAAGGCAAACTGGAAATGAAACTAAAAGAGGCTACACCTTTTACCAGAATTCATTGGGTGAGATTTCAGCTCTGTTTCTTCACAGGGTGTTCAAGGAACAGACTGGAAAAATAGCTCCTCGTGACTGGGAAGTACACTGGGGTTATAGTGAATTAGGAGGAGCTCTGGCAGCTTGTTCAGCCTCTCCCCTTATCTTCTCCTCTGTATAGTAACCTCATGAAGATTTCCACTGCCTCTCAGAAACATATAAGCAAATAAAAACAATTCTAGGAGCCCAGCCAGCCTAGGAGGCAGAACGGATGTGATTACCTGGTTAAAAATTGCTCTGAATGTCTTCAAATTGTGCTGGTTTCTGTGAGGTCAGCCAGCTGCCATCCCTGCCTCTGTCCCTGGGGCTGGCACTGAAGCTGGAGTGCCCTCTGTCTGGTTCTCACGGCTGTCCTGCCGTTCCTGGCCCTCTGTCCTGTGGCAGAGCTTGAGGCAGGTTCTCTGCGAACTCCCGCCTGGATCTGTTCTTGCTCATTGCCTGGAAACTGGAGTAATTCCACTTGCAGGAACAAAAAAGCACTGATTTAAGGAAACCAGACTTAACCATCCTCTGTAAAAACTGGGTGCCGTTGCCTGCATCTGTAACTTAGGAACTATCTTGGAAAGCTGTGCTGTGTCTCCTCTCTGGAGAGGTGCTGGAAACCCGGGGTTGCTGTTGGTAGGATGGCTGGCAGGGAGAGGAGGAGGCACAAGCTGTGCTGCAGGGAGGACACTGCTGAAGGAATGCCACCAATTTACGTGGAATGAGCCAAAAGGTTGGGAGGAGTAAGATAAGCAAGAGCAGAGCTGGAGGGCTCTTATGGGGCACTTGCAAAGCTCCTTCAGCTTTGTTTTCTGATCCTTAGGTAGGGATCAGAAGTGAGGAGCTTCAGGATGTTTTTTTTCTGAGCTGTTTTTATAGCTGAGCTCTATACAGAGCACTATACAGAGCTCAGCTATATTGCTTAGATTACAGTTTCATTTAACTCAAGTGAGGCTAACAAGAAGGTTGTTATTACCTGGATCGATACTGTATGTTATAAATAAATACCCTTTAAATGCTGGTGTGCTGGTCCATTTAAAATCTTCAGCAATAAGGGTGGCTTCTGCATCACGAAAAGCATAAAATCAATGTGTAACTATAGCCACGTGTACCTGTAATGATCTGGCACGGCTTTTATTGGATGGACTTTGGATGTATTGTTTAGGGGCAATTGCTCAAAAGTGTTCCTAATGGAGATTAAGTGAGAAAGAATCCCGTGCCAGTTAGGCAGCAACACGGTGCTTCGGGATTTCTGTTTTCGTGCATGTTTTCTTTGTTCTTATCTGCTTACATCATGTAGACTAAGTGTATGTTTTAAATTTTAAAGCTGAGATCCAACAGTATTTAACAAACATCTCTCAGCTCACGCACTGCTGTGAATGTTTTCGTGACAGAGTAAACAAGTAAGGAAATTAATATTTTTAATAAAGTAGTCTGTTTTGAATTTGACATAGTTGCTTTAGTAGTGTCTAAAACCCCAGAGTGTGTATTAAAGGTCAGTAGCCAGATGGGGACTTTGTGCAACCGCAGAATACCAAAATACCTGTACTTGAGTGTGTTAGTATTCTGCCTCATCCTGATGTGAGAAGATTGTTAATAGGTCAATAGTTGTCAGTTCAGTACATCTCTCCCATTTCACCCTAAACACCTGACATTCCAAACCATCTCTGTGCTCACACTAGAGCTGTTCTTTTTTTTAAATTTCAGTATTTAGTTTCCTTCCTCAAAAAAAAAAAACACAAAAAAAACCCAAAAAACAAACACTAAAAGGAATCTTTTATTCTTCACACGTTTTGGAGGAAAAAAAAAGTCACTTAATAGGTGGAATACTGTGAATGTTTATACTTCTTAAAAGAAACAACTTAATGAAAGCAGGTTTTGTTCAGTTTCAGATGTGATGTAAAAATAAATGCTAATAAGAAATCTGGGCAGCTGTCTGTGGTGGGACATAGATTCTTTCATATCAGAGAAAACAATGAAAAATAGCAAAAGATAAGCAGAATAGGAACTCAACTAGACTAAAACAGTGCCAGAAGATCAAGCAGACTTCAAGGGAATCAGAATAAGTTACAAGAGAACTTCATCATAAAAAGTAGCTTCCTTCCCCAGGTACAACTAGTCAGTCTGGTTTGCTCCAGGCTTCTGGCAGCAGCTGAAGTTGTGGCTTTTCCATCCCACTTCCCATTTTATGAGGTCCAGGAATTTTCATCCATTAGCATGTCCTATATTGCCTGTTGCCCTACAGAAAGCTTTTAAGGAAATCTTTGAGTTTCCGCATTCTGCCAGGATGTTTTAGGATAGTGATTCCCGATTTGCAAATCTTAGTTACATGTGAATTTTAGGAACCTCTGCTTTATAAAGGTGGCTTTGATTTTGGAGGGCTGTTAACTGAATTTGGAAGGGTTTCAACTGGAGCAGAGTGTAACTCCAGTGCTGCTGGAGTGACAGAGCTGCCTAGCCGAGCAAATCCTTGCCCAGAGAAGGATTCTTGCTATTTTTCCTCTTCTGCCTCCCCTCCCCTGAGGCTCCTTGCAGTCTTCCTCCCCTCCTGTCCCCCCTCAGGGACCTGGAGCAGCCAGATGCCACAGAACAGGTTTGAAACCAGTCAGCAAACGCGCAGATCGAATTATGGGAGCAGCAGAAGCATTTCTGGGGCACATTCTTCTCGCAGTGGGGTGAGTTAGAGCCTCGCTGCACACCCCTGGAGTTCACTTTGCAGGAAGAAATGTGGCATTTTTTACATGTTTACACCATTGGACAGTAAACTGGAGAAATGACCCCCGTCTTCCCATGGAGCCCTCTTTATTTGCTCTCCCTGCGGGTGGTTTGTTGTGTATGTAATAGACTATAGTCTGGAACCCTTCAGACAGTTGTGCTAAATGTTGCAGTACAGATTAGGTTAAGTTTAAAAAGTTCTGTAAAAGCAAGAAATGATCTGAGTTGGAAACCAGTGAGCCAGCTGTAACGTGTTTGATCAGTCTGGAGAGTGTAATGGCCAAACACTGGGGAAGGCTGCACCAAGGGGGACCTCCAGTCCTGGCAGGGAACAGTCCAGAAGACAAGCTTGGGTGAGCTGCTTATCAGATCATGACAGCCCATTAGCTAAAGGAAGGAAAGGTCTCCCAGGGAAGGTGGAAAGAAATCACAGTGTGTGTTAGTTTACATGTTTCTCTTCTATTTACTGTTCATGAACATGCAAACCTGTATTTTGCATTTTTTATGTCTGTTCTTACTGGTAAATTATTTCATGTCAAAGTCTACCATGTGATTTTGTTTTGTAGCCCTGAAACTAAGGGTGTTGGTTTTTATCCCAGTACAACTTTGTAGATCTCGATAAAAGAGGAGGCCCCATAACTTTCCAATCTGTCGTGTAACTTACAGCAGCAGTTGATTCAGAGATGCATGAGAATACACAGTTCAAGTTTAGAAATCTGGTTTAAATGCTGGATTTAAAAAAAAAAAAAGTCTATTTTTTTTCCAGTAGCCTACAAATAGGAAATGGAGTCATTTAGGCTACTTACTGACGTTTACGGAGGTCATTTTGCACAATGCTGTAGGTGGTTGGGTCTGATTCAGTAAAACAAGATAATAAAATTACACTCAGCTCCCAGACTCAAGCTTGTCTCCACAGACTCCACATGTGAAGGCAGCTGATGCTCTCGCAGGAACTGTACTCCTCATCCCAACCCACTCAGTCTCGGACCTAAAAATTCCCTCTGGCATCACCTCTTGGTCTGGTGCTTGTTAGTCACAGCCAGCACCCCCGTAGGATGGTAGGAAAGGGAAACAAGCACCCTGCTTCTGAGGTATTTTGCTTGAAGCAAGTAATTTGCCTTTGTTTTCCTCTGGAGTTAGAACTTTTAAAGATGAGTAAAACATTGCAAGGTAATCCACCACTGTTTGTAGTTTGGCTGCTGGAAACCAATGAAAAATTCCTTAATCAACATCTGTCTTGTCGTAAGCACTGTAGGAAAGCAAATATGTTTTCACAGTCAAGGAGCAAGGGACAGATGAGCTGTTAGAGCTGTGTTTGTGCAGTACTTCAACATTTCCAGGTTTATTGATGCATCAAAATCTTTCCAGTGGGCTGTGATGAATGAGCCACGAGAGTGAGGAATGTGTTGTGTCATGGTCAGTGTGACTGGGCAGAGCAAAGCTGAGCTGAATGAAACAGTTGGATGCTTATGCTTACAGGAATGAAGCCATTTAACCTCTTGAGAAAGTAATATTATTACGACTCCTAGAGAGTTGCCCAGATTGAAGGGGCTTTAGAATTTAGAAAAAGGAAGAAGAACCAAAAGAGGAAAAGAAAAAAAAAACCCCACAATATTTTCTCTTCTAAATATCTGAAGCTTTGTAATATGTTGTTTTGTTACAGTAATTCTCTGCTGGGTAGTCATATGTACCTTGTTATTATGCAGACAGTAAAATTAGAATTGTACTACAGTAGAGGCTCTACCTATTTTCTAGCTGCATATATTTCTATAAAAATTACCATACGAGGTATGCAGTTATATTCTGCATATGAAACAGTGTGATTTTGGAGCTTATGTACAAATCTTGATGCATTTAGAAGCATTAATAGCTATTTTCTGATTGCAAAGAATTGGTGGTGAGACATCAGCTGCATCTTTAGAAGAAAAATTGAGTTCTCAAAGCAGTTTTAAGTGAAGAGCATTGTGCGATGCCATGGGTGAAGCATAACATCCTGAAGTAACTAATGAGCAAAAAATGATGGTAATATTTACAGTGATTCCCTGGTTTGTTGGTATTTATTTAACCTTTTAGAGGTGTAAGGTTGCTCTTCTGGAGATACATGTGTATTACTTGCAGGCACTCAGATTTGAGGTCTGTTGGGTCCAAAAACTGAGCCTAAACCAGAATATCCTTTCATTTTCTTTCCCTATTAAAGCACTGCAGGCAAATAGATTTCTTCCCGAGGATGTCTCAAATCTCACAGTCTTATGCTGAACGTGCTGTCAGCTTTTGATAGGGATTCATTGACCAATTCCCTGGCATTTTCAGTGAAAACTGATCATCCTGTCCTATCTGATGACTCACCATATTTTTAGAAATTTGTTTATCAAATAGCTGCTACCTGTACCCAATGGCTTTTAGAAGGACTCCTGCTGACCTGCTGCCCTTGTCTGTGGAACCTATGCTCTGCTTTTCAAAACATATTCATCTTTACAAGGGCTTTGGAGTTAATGTGCTGTGCAGCTACCAAAATAGCCTTTCATTCATCCAGCTCCTCTCAGTGGACAGATGTATGGACAGTAGATGCTGCCACAGACACATGAACGAAACAGTCCTTTCCCTTAAACAGTCCTATATTTGAAGTCTTTCTCAATATAGTCAGAACTCTTATCTTTGGATTACTCAATAACTATGCAACTCAATAGCTAGAGAATGGTTCTGAATTATGAATGAATGCTTTGTTTAAAATCCAGTAGCTTTTTTGTTTTTTTCTTTTTTGTAGAAGCTTCTCTGGTGCACTGCTCTGCTCAGGCTTTACCAGAGCGTGGAGTGATTTTACCTCTACAGAAATTTGCATTGTAATCTTGATAGCGATCGTGAACATTAACTTTATAATCCTCACTGGGGAAATGGAGCGATGAAGTATTGGTACAGCAGTAAATTGGAGTAGAAAACAAGAAGCAGGAGGGAGTAGGGTGTTAGGTTGAAAAACTACATTTAGCAGAGGATGTCCTGTTGAGAAGGGTGTCCTCCTCAAATAGATGCCCTGCATTCATAACGCCCTTTCTGTGCTCTGAGTAAATGGCTTATTGTACTGCCCACATACACTAAGTCATTAATTTTAACCTGGTAATAAAAGTATTTGTATAAATGTGAATTGATACTTTTCTCCCAAAGCCCCACTGGCATTTAAAAGCTGGCTCTTGTGTATTTCAGTAATACTGCTTATGCTAAGCATGAAAAAATCACGGGTCAAACCCTGTAAAATTTTGGCTAGCTTTAAACTTGAGATTTTAGAACAGTGTAGATATTGTACTTTATTTAATCTAATATCCCTGCTCAATGAGGTCTGTCCATCATCACAGTTGTCTGTGTTTCATAGTCTGCTGATTTCTTTAGTAAAACTAGTCAAGGCTCCTTTCCAAAGTTTTTCTGCCCCTTACTGCCTCTTCTAGGAACCTGCTGCTTTGTTTGTGACCTGAAATATCAGAATTGTTAGTGATTATGATTACTGTCTCGGTACTCCTATTTCTACTCTTCTGCCACACTGATCTTGATTTCCCTAGCCCTGCTGTGCATAAGTCTTTATTCCCTTCACTGAGGTGATCTTGCTGGAGGAGGGGGCGGTGCTCTCTTCTCACCGCTGCAAAGTGGTGATGCTGCTCCCGTTCCCCAGGGCAGAGGCAGAAAAGGAAACAAAGCTACTGTTTGCACAAGGTAAGGAAGGATGAGTAGGAGAGGATGCAAAGGGTTTGGCCTAGGGAGGAGGTCCCACAGGGAGGGGAGAGCTGCCTGGGGAAGAAACAGGAGAGAGGAGGGATCTTTGCCATGCTCAGCCTCCTCCCCTGGACCTTACTGACGCCATGTCCAAACCTCACGCCACGAATGGAGATGTGTGGCCAGGACTCAAGATTTCTGGCAACAGGCAGAGGACTGTTCTTCTCTGGCCATGGCCCTGGTGTTAACCATGTTGCTTTGTTTACTCTAGATACACTTTATACTGCTGTTCAGTCGGCAGGGGAAGTTAAGGCTTCAGAAATGGTACACGACGCTACCTGATAAAGAGAAGAAAAAGATCATTCGAGAAATTGTTCAGATTATTTTGTCTCGCAATCAAAAAACAAGTAGTTTTGTTGACTGGAAAGACCTCAAGCTTGTTTACAAAAGGTGTGAGTAATTTTATAAGAACGTATCATTATTGTTCGTATGAGTAACACATGCTAGAAGAGAAAAGGTTCACTTCAAGAAAAGCAGCAAACAACACTCTTAGTGCTAGGCTGAGTGAGGAGCCTGCTTCTGACTGTGTATAACAATGCAGTGTCCCTGGCCAAACCAGTGGGGTTAATTGTGGGGTGCAAAATACTTGTACAATTTGTCAAATGAGAAAAATGGGAGTAATCTTATAAGTATTGGTGCTTAGAAGGCTCTAGACTTCACCGTTTCTTCTAATCCCACAAGGTAGCCTGCTGAGATGTGTGCTGGGCTTTATCAGACTCTTTTGGGGGTTTGCAAGAACTGTTCTGAGGTACTTCCAACATTTTGCCAAATTTTGTTTTTGAAATATTTGTTGCTCTGGAAAGTGTTAATTCCCATTTCCTTTTCCAAAGAAATCACTGGTCCCCAGTTACACAATGCCTGTTCATTCTTCTAAAGTTGTAGCAAACAAAAGTAGCTTTAAGTTATAGCTGGACAAATTAAGCAACATCTCCCATTTGGCAGAACTTGAGTTCCATGCAGTGAAAGGAGGGATATAAGCATCTGACCAGCTGCTGTGAGCCAGCCACAGCACCAGCGAGCTGAGGTGGATCGTTCTTGCATCTTAGGCTGGTTTAAACATAAAGTTTTGCTGCAAGTTAGTTGTGAAGGTTGTTTGGTCTAAGCATTCTGGCCCTGTGTAAAACACTGTCGTTTGATAGCCAGCAGGCTTACTGAGATGTGACTCCTTTCACATTTATTTTTGCCTGATTTTTATTTTTTTAATTAGGAGGAGTAGCAGTTTAATTAACTCCACTTACTATAGTGCTATTGCAGCAGGTGAGGGAGACCTCAAACTACTACCGATTTATTGTTTATTTTATCATGGCCAGTGTTGGAGATATCCCACTTTACCAAGGGTAGAATTTGTTCTTCTAACTAAAATAATCATTTGTTTAAATTCTCTGATCTTTAAAGTGTTCTCTGGGACACTATTAAGAATGAAAGAAAATGTTTATTTTAGAGACTAGATAGGAATTAACTGTCATACGAGTAACTTCTAAGAGACGAGCAGAGCACTGAGATCCCAGCTGTTCACTCTCCTGTTTTTGCCTCTCTTTCCCCAGGTATGCCAGTTTGTATTTCTGCTGTGCAATAGAAGACCAGGATAATGAGCTCCTGACACTAGAGGTCGTTCACCGATATGTAGAGCTGCTGGACAAATACTTTGGAAATGTAGGTTTCGCTTTCTCCCATGAACTCATTCCTGCCTGTCTGATAAACAAAGCTATGTGAAGCTCATTTACTTCACATTTCCATCTGCACTGCTTGCCCTGCAGGGTTTCTCAATCCAGAGTGAAATTCTTTATTAGAGTAATTTATAAAATAGTGCTGAAACAATCATAAGATTGTTTTTCCATCCTTTTTCCCCCCCAGTGAATCTTGATGCTTTGTCTTGGAATAGAATTTGAAGAGAAAGCTTGAGGAAAATTACTTTAAAAAAAAACAAACAACAGGTTAAAATACTTTAATTCTCTCTCCTGATGTCTTCAGATATACTGGTTTTGTTTGTTTCATAATACTGTCTAACACTTCAGGACACAGAAAGAGGAAAAAGATAAACTGTGTGTGTTTTTAAGGAAAAGACTTGAAGAAAGTCCAAACAAGTCTTTCAGTAATCCTTTGAAGACTACAACAGACCCCTTTTTTCTATGAATAATTTTGAAATTATGCTGACTACCTTAATTCATCTGATTTCAATCAGTGTGCCACAACTCGTGTCTGTACCGCCTCAAAACACAGAAGCGGTTGGTGGCTGTCAGTGGGCAGGGAATTTGTCTTGCTCTGTGAAACCCACATTGCAAGGGCTATATAGGACCTGTGATATGTTTAGCAGGCTAGGAGGTCTGCTTTGTCCTCTGAGAGCCAGTATGGATTTAATAATAAGTGGAATATCTTTGCTGTAAGTCTGTATTGATGAAGAGGCTTCAATATTTCATAATGTGCTTTCTTCACCCTGCTAACCTGCCACGGGAGTGCTTATGTTGAGTATATCTGATTAACCCAACAACTCCCAACCCAGCAGTGCTTATAATGTTGTAAAAGTGGTTTAAATGTGGTGTGTCCTTTTGTTTTGGCAGGTGTGTGAGCTGGATATTATCTTTAATTTTGAGAAAGCTTATTTTATTCTTGATGAGTTCATAATTGGTGGAGAAGTACAGGAAACTTCAAAGAAGACTGCAGTGAAAGCCATAGAAGACTCTGACATGTTACAGGAGGTAAGGCAGAGGAAGAAAAAAGGCAAACACATCATCTTCCTACATCTTCCTTGTTTGACAGGAGCTGAAAACACAGCTGAGCACTTCTGGTATTTAATTATCCAAGTGTGTCTTACATTCACGTTCAACAGGTACAACGGTGCAGTTACATAAGCTTTCAGTTCAACCCTCATGGAATCATCTGGAGACTCTTTATATATGGCTGTTGCTCTCTTGCAGTTTAACTGCTAGAGTTTCTCAGATAGTATATTAAGAAATAGTTTAAGATGCATCTAAGATATTTCTATAATGTAAGATCATATTTTAAGATTATATTTTATGTATACATATGTATATATAAATACAGAAAAATCTCCTTTGTTTCACTAATACATTGGAAACAGATAACTTACTATTAACATTTAAAATTGGAAAGAGTATGTGCTGGCAAACTGCACTTCCATTCAGGAGCACCTGTGTAGTTCTGCCAGGCACAGCCATGCAACCTTTATTCAGAACCCTGCAGGAATTCTCTTGCTGTAATTTGGAATGTAACTGGTATCGTGGTGCCAGGAATGGCAAAAGCAGTTGGATGGGACGGATTTACTTCATTTTTAACTCGGTGGTGAAGGATCCATCGTAACACTGAAGGATGAGCAGCCCCTGGGTGGAACTGGCTCAGGACACCCTGTGTGAGTTGAGCAGCTTCTCCCAGTGGTCTGTCACGTGCAACTCAGCCAGCTGTGTACGGAGGCCACTCGGCAGGATGAGTTTAGCCACAGCTGTGGTGTGTCATGATTTGAGGGTCAGATTCTAAACCACTCTTTTACATGTTTTTAAAGCAGAATTATTTCTATATTTCCATTGATCTACTTCCATGCAAAACTACAGCTGTCCTCGAGGAGGACAACAGGTTTTGTATGAATATTACTGTACCATTCCATAATGCATCAGTTGTTTCTTCTTTCTTTTTTTTTTTTCCTAGACAGTGGAAGAATACATGAACAAGCCTGCATTTTAATGTTAAACTACCTGGAGAGAAAACTGCTGTGTGCACCTCTACAATGCACTTCCTGAAATTGCTTCCCAAAGTGCCAGATTCTCAGAGCAATACCAAAAACCAGTAACTGAGGGGGTTTGTTTGTATAATGGTAAAGATGAAGGTCAGCTAATGTAGCACAGGGTTTAACAGTTCTGTACTTTGTATTACTCTGCATATGAGTTTCTCAGAGTTGTTATTACCCTGAATATAGTTTTCTCTTCTTGCTGGACTGAACTCTTGTTTTTTAACATGCCTTTTAGCTACAGATTTTGTCATCATAAAATGCTACTCTGACAGTACTTTGAAGAGATATTTTTACTAGTTTTGGTTCACTGCTGACTGTATGACTCTACTTTTGTACAAATGTCCATTATTTTGAATGTAATGATTATTCTGCTCTAATAATAATTTTTTTTCTAAAAGCCAAATTGTTGTGGGCCCTGATTTCATAAGCTTGTTGTGACGAGATTAACTCATCCAGTATAAGAAGAAATGTGCATCTCTTTGGGCCAGCCCCTTTCTTTCACTATCTTTTCTGCTCTAGTCTGTTAATAAGACTGCTCCAACTGCTACTAGAGTGTATTCCATGCCTCCATTTGATCTGGAAGACTGTTCTGACTGGAGGTAGGTTTCTCCTAGGTTTATTGAATCCTTTTTGCTGCAGCGTGTGGATGGCCTGTTTCTGTCTTCCTTCTCATTTTCCTATCACCTTTCTAGATCCCCTGGACCTGTGCAAAGGCTCCAAACTTTGGAAGTGTGCAGCTTGAGAGCAGGAGATAATCTGAAGAGAAAAAATTAGCCTTTGGGATTTTAGAGTGAAGATAATCTCATATATCATTTGGTATCCACCAAACCCCACATTTCCCTTTAGAATTTTCCAGTCTCAAATTCACACACCTATTGGGATGATCAGCTTTCAAGTAGTTGAACATGGCCCATTTTTGTGAAGATTGGGCAACTGAATCAGCCTTTTATAATTTTGCAAGCTGCAAAAAGGGTAAAATAGTAGAGAGGAGCAGAGTCAGCTGGGCTGTATCCCTTACTGTGTCTTAAAACATTGTAGCTGTGCGTGTGTGGAGCTGGGTGTGTTAACTGTCTTTCAGTGCAATATGGACTCTGTAAACTGATTGAACTGGCTTCCTTAGGTTATTTCCTCCCTTAACAGAATTCAGAGCTCATGGAAATTCTGTTTATCTAACTCACAGCTAGATGTTTTGTCTCGGTCAAATCCTGAAATTATCCTGTACAAAAATTAGGCAAGTTATCAGACAAATATGCCAGGATGATCCAAGCGCTGATTTGCACTTCCATTCAAGATTAATTTTCCTTGATTTCTGGGATGTACAGCCAGTATTTTCTTTCAGGGCTTTTTCTAATCTTTAAATGTCCTGCATGCTTACTGTTTATTTTTATCTTGCTCCTTCCTTCCTAGTCCATTTGTGTCTTCCCAGGGAGGGGTACAGGGGTTGTTTGGAGGGTGAGGGTACTTTGACATAACACAACAACTGTGCTGATTGTCAGCCCCCTCTTCTGCCTGTGCTTTCTGGTCTATTAGTAAAACTGTGACAAGCTGCTTCATAGCATCATGTTGCTCTTTTTATAATTACTTTATCCATCTGTTTCCTCTGCATTGATGTCAAAGGCATACTTTGAGCATTGAGAAAATAGTGAAATTGCTGAAGGGCTTTTAATAGCTCTGAAGACATCCAATTTAATAGTAAATTAATGAAATTGTATGAGTTGTATATTATTTTCTCATGACTTGATATGAAGTTTTTAAAAGTAGAGTGTTTAATTGATTAAGAAACCACTTCAGAATGTACAAAGAGGCTCCTTCTGCTCTTTTTAAGTGACTTCTATTCAGTGAAATCATCAGTAGTTTGATTTGCTTTTACTCCTTTTTGGAGCCATGCTGTGATTCTCTGACTCTTAAAACTGTCATGTTGCTTGAATTCTAGATTATATCAAAACAAGATTTTCAAAAAATGTCTTAGTATGAATAAGGATATCAAAAACCAGTCTTTTCAGTCATTCTGAGGAGAACTAGAAGACTTCTTTCCCTGTCATTTCAAATGAAGGAGAATTTCCTTATGGAAAAAATTGTAGACTAGCTAAGGGGTAGGTACTTATACCAGCCATATCAGTATAGCATCTGCAATGAACAGCATTGCCAAACTGAAGTATCCAGTGTCAACTTGAGAAGTGGGGAGGAATTAGTGTGGTTTTCTTGCTTAGTGCAAAAATTTGCTGGAATATGGTGGGCTTGTTGTGCCACCTGCCTTTGTACTACAAAACTGAATGGAAAGTATATGTTAAGTACTCTAAAGAACTGCTAAATTATGTTCATGCTCCAAGGAACATCTGTAGAATTCCTGTTGCTTTTGCCTATATGTGGGCTACATAAAGCAGGCAGGTGAGCATTTTTAATTAATGTGAGTTTTGGAAGTGTCAGCCTGCATGTTACCTAAACCCTCACCTTGCTGACAAGCCTCAAGTACGTATGTCCTAGTTTGCAAAATTGTGTTTACTAAAATAACCATTAATCACGGTCATGTTGCTAGCCTAGATTCCCTTCCTTGCTTTGGCCAGCTGCATCCAACAAAAAGCTGCTTGATTTTCGTGTGAGCATCTCTGCCTGGAGGACTCTTTGTGTCATCTTAGTACTCACCAGCTGGGACAGAGCTGTCTGCAACTGTTTGCAACTCATGAGTTGTGACATCTTTGAACACATCATGGCAATTAAAAAGAGATAGACGGATATTAGACTGGGATAAAAATAAGTGTAATCATGTCGAAAGGAATATTAAAAGTGTGACAGATCATCATGAGTGAGAGGCAAGAGTGGCAGGATCTCACAGGATTCATTTTTATAAATTTTGGTTTTTTCGTTATGAATTTCTGAGTGTAAGGGCTCATTAAAAGGTGTCAACTCTTACAAATAACTGCAGGAAAAACTGACATTTAGGTTACCTCCTATCAGCCTTTGTTTAACAAAGAGCCACTGAAAGGGAATCTTCCACACCTCCCCCTCGCTGCTCCTGACAAGCCCCACTGTGTTTTCAGAAACCCAGGTGGGAAACTTATGGTCAAGTTTGGATGTGATTCTGTATCTGAATTTTTACTGGACAGAATAATGCTGTAATTGATAAAGGATGAGTTACTATTTTTTCCTTTATTTTACAGTCCTTTGAATAGATAACACATTTTTCTGTCCTCTGCTTAGCACTGTGCTGTATTGGAGTAATACAGCATGCAAAGTGCTACAGTAGGTGTCAGGAGGGACTGGTTTATAAGGAAAGATTACAGGAATGTAACAGTGTGAGTGGGGCTTTCAAAGATACCCAGAGACATTCAGTTAACAGTCCCCTCAAAAAAACGAGGCTTAATACAGTTCATAGAGAGAGAGAACTCCCATCCCTGTCTGTCCATGACATTCTGCTCCACTGAAAATGCGTTTGAAAATATTTCTGTCAGCACAGCTCCTGTGTGAGGGGGCTTTTGCTCTCACCCTGCATAAGATGACTAAACCCAAAGGTGTCAGTTCTGCAGTTAATCCCTAGGGTGGGGTTTTCATTAACTTTATCCAGTGCCTTTATGGGCATGGAGTCTGCATCATCATCTTGCATCACTGTCTTTTCAATTTCGATGGCTGCCAGAACTTGTGAGCTCAGACCAGGTAACAGCATCCTTCTGGGAGAGTTGACGACATTCCTGCTGAATTCAGTAGCCTGCATGTTCCTTGGCAAGTTCACAGTGCAAATAAAATAAAGCTGTTGATTTAAGTATCTGGTAGGATATTTCAGGGATTTTTTTTTTTTTTAATGAAGATAGCTGGTCTAGGTTAAAGTATAGTAGTGAAAGCTTAGTGTTCATAGCAGAAATAACAGGCTGTGCTGCAAGAGAGTTAATGTTTGCTGTCATGGAAACCTGTTGCCTTGGAACATGACTAATGAGACACAAGGCTAAGGGAAAGAAAGAAGCTATTCTTGAAATTATTGTTCAGTAAAGCCTAAGCAAGACCAGCAGTATATATTATCATGAATTGTAGTTATTTCAAATTCTGTTGTCTCGTTCACTTAACTTTGTCTTTTTATTTACTTATTCAACAACTCTTGTAACCACGTTTTCATGCAGAGAAAATAGCTGAGCTAATCCTTCGACTGTCTGGAAATAAATAGCATCTTATTTGCATTCCTCTTTCCCAGTACACTACAAAATTTGTTCAACTGTTATGGAAGGGACACACTGAATACAAACTTATGGCTGGTCAGGAATGTCCCCCACTAAGGAAGGAGTCAGCAGCAGTTTGGCTTTTGCCTTTGATTGTACCTGTTGATTTCAAAGACAGTCCAGGAATATGAGCTCAGGAACATTTCTGTGTACTTAGCCATATGGAAAAATCTGGTTACCCCCCCTGTATCAGCGTGGTAAAACTGCTGCTCTCTAATGCTGAAAGGAAACTTGGTGGGGGGAACAATCAGAAGGTATTTTAAAGTTGACTTCAGCATTCTGTCATCTCCTTTTAAAATTCCCACTGAGAATTCTCCTCTCTTCTGGAGTTCCTACTCCAAACCCAGTACCTATCGTTACACACCAGGCTCTGCAGTGGAGAATAGAGTGCTGATGTTTTTTTTCCTGCAGAGGGGACTTTTTCAAGTCTGTTGTGAAAAACAATGCTGAATGTAGAATCCCCAGTTACACAGGGTGACAAATTCATTAGAGCTTGCTGAGGGTTTCAGCTGCTCTCTGAACCAGGATCTTGCATGAATAAATTGTCAGCAGCTTTAAGTCTCCCTGCCTTGTGGAGATCACGCTTCAGGGTCCTTCTGCAAGCTCACAGTGAGGAGTCAGCCTTAGCTGAGCTGAGCCAACAAAGACAAGTCACAGAGGAACATCTCCACAGAAGTTTCAGGTGAAAGAATCTGTTCTTTTTTGTTTCTCGAGAGGGCTTGGGATGTGGTCCTAGATGAGTATTATGCTGGGTAACAGCTCTGAAACATGACAGTGTGGCAAGAAGGAAGTATTCTGGGAAAAACAACAAAGAGTTGGCTGGGTTTGTAAGCTGACAGCTGCATTTGGGATGAAGGAGGGTTTTTTCTGGTGTCTTTTGTCAGGGACAAGGTGGTCCTTCCTTGTTCTCAGAGGGAAAACTGGCTTGGGTAATCAGTTCTTGTTTGGCAAGAGCTGACACAGAGTGTTATGTTGGCAATGACAAGAATGTTCTGCTGGCAAAGAGGTACTGCAGAGGGCAATGAAATATCATACATTATTTTTAAATATGGTAAAACACTGATTCATTCTGGTTGGGTTAATATGAGGAAACAGCAACATTTAGCATGACAGTTCTGTGAATGATGATGGAAGTAATAAGTATGCCCAAAAGGTTGTGTTGTAATGTATACTCCAGCACTTATGTTTAAGTCTGGCA